ATAGGCTCGAAAGCCTACTACCAATTAAGCATATTAGGTGATGTGCATCTCTGTAATGAGAAGGGGTGTGGTCTAATGACATCAACACCCTATATCAGGTGTGCATAATTATTAGGCAACGTCCTTTCCTTTGGCAAAATGGGTCAAAAGAAGGACTTGACAGGCTCAGAAAAGTCAAAAATAGTGAGATATCTTGCAGAGGGATGCAGCAGTCTCAAAATTGCAAAGCTTCTGAAGCGTGATCATCGAACAATCAAGCGTTTCATTCAAAATAGTCAACAGGGTCGCAAGAAGCGTGTGGAAAAACCAAGGCGCAAAATAACTGCCCATGAACTGAGAAAAGTCAAGCGTGCAGCTGCCAAGATGCCACTTGCCACCAGTTTGGCCATATTTCAGAGCTGCAACATCACTGGAGTGCCCAAAAGCACAAGGTGTGCAATACTCAGAGACATGGCCAAGGTAAGAAAGGCTGAAAGACGACCACCACTGAACAAGACACACAAGCTGAAACGTCAAGACTGGGCCAAGAAATATCTCAAGACTGGTTTTTCTAAGGTTTTATGGACTGATGAAATGAGAGTGAGTCTTGATGGGCCAGATGGATGGGCCCGTGGCTGGATTGGTAAAGGGCAGAGAGCTCCAGTCCGACTCAGACGCCAGCAAGGTGGAGGTGGAGTACTGGTTTGGGCTGGTATCATCAAAGATGAGCTTGTGGGGCCTTTTCGGGTTGAGGATGGAGTCAAGCTCAACTCCCAGTCCTACTGCCAGTTTCTGGAAGACACCTTCTTCAAGCAGTGGTACAGGAAGAAGTCTGCATCCTTCAAGAAAAACATGATTTTCATGCAGGACAATGCTCCATCACACGTGTCCAAGTACTCCACAGCGTGGCTGGCAAGAAAGAAGGTTTTTTGATGGGGTTTTAGGATTTTAAATTATTTGTTCATTTTTTGTGTTTTTTTAATTAAATTGGGGGGCCCGGCTCTTCCAAGGGAGTTGGGAGTTTAAAATTTTATTTTAAACCATAATATGGCCCTTAGAAAGGGGTTTTTTTTGTTATTTAAAAATTTTTTCCATTTGTGTAAGTGATTAGGATGATCTCCATCACAGCCCACGAGATCACGCACGATCTGATATCGTTGTGTTGGTGTTGTTCCCAGATCAACATAGTATTCTGATTGGTCACTTGCAATGTTGATCTTGGAACAACATTTACTATGTTGATCTGGAACAACATGAACAACATGAACACGACGATATCAGATCATGCGAGGGAAGAGAGGCAAGGTTTAATCCCTCAAAGTGATTTATAGGAGTTTTTTTAAATATAAGAACGCTGCAGAACGCAGAATCAAAACACTGTTGTACAGTTTAGAGTCCTACTTATTCCCACTACTTGACATCAATATTTTATTCTACTTTCAGCTTGTGCTTGTAAGAATGGATAGACTGCCAGGTCTTCCACATTGCTGCAGACATCACAGAGTCAGTGCTCTGCTCCCTCACTCGCAAATACAACCCCCTTTATTTTATTTGTATGACTGATGTCTGCAACTAATGTGATATTTTAGGCTATTTGTACTAAAAACAATAGCAGTACAAGGTAGTTTTGTATATATATAATTGCAGGGTTAAAGGTTTAAAACAAAACGTAAAGTATTGGTCAATTTTTATACAAACTAACAGTGTAAAATGACACAGAATACGACAGAAATCCCCCCAAAAAGATTGTTTTTCAGCTCCTAAGTTTAGAGAAACTTCTGGATTTCAAAGTTTTATAAACCTGGATGGTTGTTTCTGTGTGGAGATTTTTTTTTTGTTTAAGTTAACTCTTTCGCTGATCTCTCCGCGCCTCCTTTATCTCTAGTTAATTATGTTTTCATTGCGCACTCAAGTGTTTCTATTTTTTATTTGATGTTTCTCAAGGTTGGTTTTTGTTTTGTTTTGGTGAGGCTCTAATTCCTTCTGCAGAGAAACAACATTTGTTCTTTTTTTCCTCCACTTTATTATTGCAAGGTTGGAAGTTTCTGCTGCCATCTGCAGTATTTCAGTGGCAGTAGCAGTTTTTCTGCTTCCCAAAATAAAATAAAATAAAATAAAATAAAATAAAATAAAATAAAATAAAATAGAGCAGTTTTTCAGGATTTAAGAGATGACTCAAGTTCTGAACTCATTTTAATTGCCACTAAACCATTTTTATTTTCTACAGTAATGAAGACAACAAAACACACCTTCAAGCTTTGACGCATCCAATACAATAAACAATATTAACACAATTCAGTGGGATGAATATATTATTTAAATGTCTGATCATAACAATATGTGATCAGACTAGAATGACCAATAACACTTCAACATGAATTAATGTTAAAGAACCAACATGAGTCATGACTGAAAAACCACTGATGTTTTTTTTTCTCAGACAGATTTTCAACAATTTTTTTCTGACATCTCAGTACAAATAAGGGCAAATATTTTATATTTTCCTCATGACAGCAGGCTGGTTTTATTAGATTAGGCAATAGTTTAGTGGTAAGGAACAGCTACAGTCAAACTGTAGCTCACAAACATAAATGATTTTGAGACTCGTTGTGGTGGAAAGCACCTGCACTTACTGCCCTAGTAGATACAAGCACTGCAGCAGTTAATGCTGTTAGGGCTGCTGTGATGAAAGGCGCTGTATGAATACAGAGGAGTTCTGGGTGACAGCAGATTTTTGGCTTTTTTTAAAGCTTTTTACTGGTTTTCGTTATTCTGACTGTCCACTTTTACAATTATATGCTGATCTAAAGTGTGTGTTAATGTACATTTGAGCCCTGAAATTGATGGGGGGTTACGGTCCAAGAGCACCCGTGAATTTTGAAAAACCTTGAATTTTGGATGTGGTAAAACAAAATTGCCTATAAATGATTTTATAGTTTAAACCCTGAATATATAAATCTGGGGATGCAGGACTTTAAGAACAAAATGAAAAACACTCGAGATAGCTACATGTATGATGTGGGAACGCTGGACTGCATCTGCTGGAGATGCAATTAAGAGAGATGAACAACGCTCTCGGATTGGCTACTTTCAAATCCCCGCCTCTGAGTACACTGGCATTTCAACACTCAAAGGTGCGTTTTCCTTTGAAACAACTGCGGAGGATATCTGTGGTTTCTAAGAAAAAAATCTGGGAACATCTGTTTACAATGGCTGTTGGCTTGATATTAGCTCACTTCTAAAACAATTTGATTAATACAAAGTTCCCCCTGAAACACAATTAAGGGGAACAATTAGGAAACAAGATGAAACTCAAAGACTTTCATCATACTAAACTAATTTTGAGAGTTCTGATTATCAGTATTACTGTGTTAAAAGAGAAAAGAAACAAACCAAGAATTCAAATAGTTAACTTTTTTCCCCTTTTTATTTAAAGCAGAGTGGTTTACACGACTAACATTTTACTGTACCATATTTTTTACAGAACTTTGTGATTTTTTTTGTTTTATTTTATAAGTAGGTCGTTCAGTAACTTAGGTCTTTATGCCCAAACAAGTAACGATTTAGTAGAACTGTTGGTCACCAGACTACATGTTTGCTGTAAGTGACATGATGATCTAAGAACCACGTGTTTTAGCACAAAAAGTTAGAAAAAGAAGAAAAAAAAATCCACAACATTTTTTCCAGTTTAAAAAAAATGAAATATAAAGTTCACAGATTAAAAAAAAACAAAAACAAACTGCATCTGTAAGTATATTATGATAAAAAAAAAAAGTTGTTGTTTTCAGTGTCGTTTAGGTTGTGGATGGACTGGGGACAGAGGTTTCCTCCACCTGGTGGCTCTTCATGTGCGTTTTCAGACAGTGGCTCTGGGTGAAGGCTTTTTCGCAGATGGTGCACTGGTACGGTCTCTCTCCGTTGTGGGTCCTCATGTGGACCGTCAGGTGTTCCTGGCGAGAGCACGCCTTTCCACAGATCGCGCACACAAACCGTTTGATGCCCAAGTGGCTCCTGATGTGGTTGGTCAGGTGAGTCTTGCGTTTGAAGAAACGGCCGCAATCGGAACAGCCGTACGGCGCCTCACCAGTGTGCACTCGCATGTGAACCTTGAGTTCGCCGTTGGACACGAAGCCTTTGCTGCACACGCCGCAGACATGCGGCCTCTCGCTGCTGTGCGTCTTCATGTGAGTCATCAGGCTGCAGTTTGACAGGAAGGATTTGCAGCAGATGTGGCAGAGAAAAGGTCGCTCCCTAGCCATGTGGATCTTCTCGTGGGACTTCAGGTTGCCGGAAAGTTTGAAACGCTTCCCGCAGATTTGGCAGCCATACGGCCGCTCTCCAGAGTGAGTGAACTTGTGGCGGGTCAAAGATCGAAGGTCACAGACAGACTTTCCACAGATATTGCAGACGTATCTGTCTTTGCTGGTGTGTATCTTGCTGTGAGCTTGGAGCTGCGCCTTCAAACCAAAGGATTTTGGGCAAATGTCACATTTGTGTGGTTTCTCTTCCACATGGACCCAATGGTGAACATTCAGACCAGACATGTAAGCAAAGGTTTTGCTGCAAATCTTACATTTGAATGGCCTGTCTCCTGTGTGCAGAGAAACGTGGCTGTTAAGACCGACGATGGTGAAGAAAGATTTCCCACAATATGAGCAGTCGTGAGTTTTCTGGTGAATTCTGATATGTCTCTTCAACTCATCCACAGATTCAAACTGCTCTCCGCAAACTCCACAACCACCCTGTGGCTCCTCCAGGTGACTCCAGGTGTGTTTGATCAAGCTGCCCAGGTTCAAGTACCACACTCCACACACTTTACAGGCTATTTTACTCTTCTCTATCTCCTTCATGTCACTTTTGCGCACTTGTTTCTTCATCTTTTTTGTCACCTGGAGCTCAGAAACAGGTTTAAAGCATTTGTCTACAGCCAAGGCTTTGTGTTCATCTTTGCTGTCCACTTCCCTCTCACAGGCCTCTTCATCTGTTTGCAGGTCTTGCTTTTGTGATGTTGAGCTGCTGGCCAGCATGTCCACACTGGGACTGTCTGTATGCTGATCAGAGCTGCTGTGGAACAAAATGGTTAAAGGTAAGTTTTAAGTACTGAGCGTCTGTACATAAAAGCCATAGGTTTCGTCTACTTGCAATAACTAAAAACAACAAACTCATCCATTAGAGAACTTGAACCACAGAATTTTGGGTTTGGTATTCGTTAGATCAGAATTTGTTCCCTCAATAATTTTTTAAATTTCATGTTTTTCATTGAATTATCACAATCCAGCGTCTAGATTGAGTGAAACCCTGATCTCTGATCTCACGTAGTAGTAAAAGGTCCCCAGGGTGGCTGTGGCTACAATGTAGCTTGCCATCACCAGTGTGTGAATGGGTGGATGACTGGATATGTAAAGCGCTTTGGGGTCCTTAGGGACTAGTAAAGCGCTATATAAATACAGGCCATTTACATCAACATTCTAGAGTCTTGTTTTTGATATCGTCGGTCAATCAAGAGCACACAAATCCTTATACCCGTTTTTATTTTTACCTTGACTGGAGTTCAGCTTCACTGTTTTTTGATATGTCAGCATCGCTGGATGGACAGTCATCGTTTGTTGGTGAAGGGGGAAACTCTTTCTCTCCCTCCTCACTAGTCTGTAAGAGTTCATTTCCAAATTATTATCAGTACTTATGTTAACTGAGAGTAAAATAGCTAAAATTTCTTTAACATTTTTGTAAAATCTTAAAGTGTACATTTAAATCACATCATGATTGTTACATTTTAAATCTGTTATTGTGGTATAAAGAGGCAAAATTATCAAAATCCTACCAATGTCAGAGGCAAAAGCAGCACAAACAGGTACAGCATCTACCTTCAGGCGGATGTAGAGGGCAGAGTTTCCAATAAACATGTGGATCTCCTCTGGAGTCACAGTCTTCACTTTCAGGGGCTGGAGCTTCCGGCTTCTGTCAGTTATGAATAAGTCAAAAGGTTCATCATCTGCCAGCTGAGGAAAGGTGGACTTCAACAGGTCCAGGAAGTCAGCTTCCTGTAGACCAAGAGGGCACTTCAGGTCGTGTGCTGGGAACTTCTTGAATACTGGAACAGAAGAAATTCATCTTAAGATCAATAGTCCTTAGGCAGTCAGTAAAACCAAACCTTGCCCTAGTATTCATTAGTTCAAGTGATTAGTTGGCCAGTCTTTGACTATTTCTGATGATAAATAATGTAATTAAATATTTTTGTAAGCATTGGAAAATGCTTTGAATTAGGAACAAAGAAAAAATGGTATTAATAGCACGGCTAACACTGTACCACATAACAGACAAATACAAAACCTTAATGATTAACATTTCATACTCGTCTTAGAGAGCACATTGGTGTGAGAGTCCTCCAGGATGCGGACTCTGAGATCTATATGGTTCTTTGTGTCACTGATGCGAGGTCTGCCGGGCTTCTTCCTGATAGTCGGAACTCTGGCGAAAATGCAGGAACTAAGTCAGTGCCATAAAAGACTATAAAGCAAATGCAAATAAACTTGGGGACCATCCACATATTGTTGGCCATATCACAAACCTCTACAGTTTGTTGTTCCTTAAAGTGGTGTTTGTTCTAACCTTGACGGCATTTTATAATCTGGGTCCTTTAGATCTTCTCGTTTTTGTCGGGAACTTGTTGGTTGCATCAACTCCTGCTCCTCTTCATCGTCATCAATGTCGTCGTACCAAAGCAGGCCCAGGCTCTCAGTGTCCTCCACACCTGGATACATCAGAAGTCACTTTTTGTTATGGTTTTTAATTTGAATCATATGATGATAAAGACACGATACATGTGGTTTAGTCAGTTTGCTTTAGTAATAATTTGATTAATTGAACTCGCCTGGCGCACATTATATAAGCACTGCACTCACTTTCATGCCCTCTTTTCACTCCCACATGGGGCGGCAGCTTAGGTGAGTTTGATTTGTAGTTCTCAGTTTAAATCTTTATTTAAGTTAATGACTTAAAGTCATTAACTTAAATGACTTGTTTTCTCTTTCAGAGTTTAGCAGTCCATGCGTGTCTTCCTTTAAGTTACTACTGATTACAGTGAAGTAAACCAAGATATACGGCAACTAATTGATAGCAGTTTTCTTTGCATTCTGACCAGATGAGGCCATGGTGATAAAAAATAAAAACTTTGAACCTCCTTATTAACACACAGTAGGAGGCAAATTGGTTCTAAACAGTCAGGCTGACTTTTGACTGACTGCTGGTGACAAATTGGTGATGTTTGCAAATAACTGGAGGCCAATTTACAAACATGGACAGACTGCCAACATGTTGCAATCAATCTTAATCAGTCTGTGCCAATAAGCGCAACTCATCTGGTTGCCAACTGGTTGTATTCTGGATATATACCTATATATGGGGTTACCCATGTTATGGGGTGCCTGTGTCATTTTGCAATATTCTTTATAAAAGCCTTGAACCCCCCCCCAAAAAGAAAAACAATTAATGGTAAGACTGTTCAGACATACCTGTCTGTTGCTTGGGCTGTTGCTCCTCTCTGTCCTCAGGCACGACTTCCACCTCATGCCTCTCCACATCAGGCTGTAGGACTTTGTGATTTTTGGTCAAAAAGAACATTTGATCAATATATCAGCTTTGTGTGACTGTGGTGTTTGACTGCAGCTCCAAAGACGCTCCTTCCTGTTGATCATTGTTTTTATTATGTAAACCACTAAGAAAACATTAACTCTAGATTCCAAAAAGACAAAAAAAAACAAAACAAAACACCAAAACAAAACAAAGAATGACAATCTGGGATAAGAATTAGACCAGACTCTTATGCTCTCAAGGATAACTACATTACGCCCAATGGCATATCTTGTGAGAAGAAGGGCGTGGTTATGGGTTATATGGCCTGTTGCTACATGCTTTTAAGAGTCTGTACAACAGCCATGAGAGCGTGGATAATAAAAAGCAGTAAGTCAGATTGCACGCTCAAGAAGAGTTTAGTTGGGTGGTCTCAGATGTTTTCTGTTGGCGACCTCCATCTCACTGGAACAGCCTGAAGCAGCAGAAATTCTAATTAGTCCCTCAAAGTCTGAGGTCATGGCACTAAAAAAATGTATGGAATAACCACTCCAGGCTGAAGGTTCTACCTCAAGTAGAGGCTTTATACACCTCAAGGTCTAGTTCAGGGAAAAAAAACAAAAACAAAAAATTGAATCATCTGCTCTTCTCTACACTTAAGCTGAGAGAGATTCATGCCGAATTGCAAATAACGCTAATATTATTTTCCCTGCATTCACATTTTATTGTAATTACACATCTGTATGTTTAACAGCTTGTAAACGTAAAATCAGCCATTTTTAAACGAAGTTCGGCAAATTCTAAATTTACAAATCAGCTTTTTGTGGCTGCGAGCAGCTTTATTTGTCCACTCACCTCTTCTCTCCAGAGAGACGTTAGGCTGCAGGAGCTCCAGCAGTCTCCTCTGACGGCCGATCTCTCGCCTGAAGCCCGCAGCCTCCTCCTCGTAGTCGGCTACAGTCCTCTCCACCACCGCCAAGATCTCGCGGGCGGCTGTGCTCATTTTCTCGGTGACGATTCCTCTCAGTATGTCGCTCTTAGACATGTTACCGACGCTGTCGACCGGCTCGGGGCCGCCGCTGCTGCCGCTCTTCATCCAGTAAAACATGTTTGTTTGTTTTCTCAGCTGTGTTTTGACGAAGAACACATTCACACACTACAGCGCAGGGTGCGTTTCCGGCGGATTCTGGTGCAGCTACAAATTGTGTCCAGAAAAGAAAATCAGGCGTTATTTAGTTCCCCTGCTGGTGTGACTTTTACTAGCTAACCCCAGTAAGACTGATGTCTGCTGTACATTTAAGATGCTGGTGAAAATCATGGCATTATAGTAAAGTAAGTGAAAAGCATTTTTAATGTAGCACCTTTAAGGACAAACATCATAACAAAAATGGTTAAATGTTAGAACAAAAAGTTACTCAAAAGCAAGCTTAAAAAGATTATATTTTTAGCTGCTTTTAAAACAAATCACCAAATTCATAGATCTCAAGCTTCAAAAGCTCTATCTCCTCTTTTAGCCCTCAGCATTGGATGATGCACAGTCTGCAGTGACCTCGGGGACCTTTACATTAGGGGCTTCTGTCCAATAGCACAGCACCGACAGAAGCACAGCATGTTACAGATACAGAAAAGGGGAATGAGAGTAAGGATATAGGCATAAATATACCATATATACACATATATAAACACAGAATATATAATATGGATAAATAGGAATACCAGTGGATTGCACATTTGAGTGATTTTACACAGTGATTATTGCTCAGTCGAATATAAGAAAATACAGTTTTATACCTATTAAACTTATATTTTTGTCATTTTACATAGAAATTGAAGAAAATATGTGTTTGTGTGACAGGGTGATAGTAACAAAATGACTAAAGATATAATTTAAAATTGGTGCTTTGTGACGTTGTCTACACATCATTAGAAAAATTACAAGAAAGTCTGGCTGCTCGAAAGCAAAATGACAGGTGACATTCAAGTATGACAAAAATGGTCATTTCTGTTATTTGGTTACTTTAACTTATTGCCCTTTTATTAAAATGGTTACATTCAGGTATTTAGCTTAAAATCATAAGGAAAAAAACTATAAAGAAAAAAAAATCAAATCTACTAATAAAGTGTTGTCTGTTAATATTCTGACTTTAATTCACTAAAGCCTCTAGATTAATTCATATTGTTATACATATATACATTACTAAATATAAAAAATAATTAAAACAAACATTAAAATTTCAGTTTAGTACTATTAACAACCAATGGTTTAGACTAAATTGGCTATATTAAAAGTAATCTAACAAATAAACAAATTAACATATTTGTCATTATTTTTATGTTCTCCATTAAACAGTTAAAATTTCAATAATTCAATAAAATGAAAAGTTAACACTATATCACATGAGCTAATATATAACGCAAAAATACTCTTAACATAGGTATTTTCTAATTATTATTTTATAAATTGCATTTTATATTTACATTTTAAAATATTAATAACTTTATTTAAACTAAATTTCACATTTTAAGGTATTTTAAAAGTATACTTTTGAACAAAAAGGTGTTTAATGTAAATGATTTTTCAAAATGTTAAGAAATGGGTATAGTGTAAGTTGTACTTTTAAATTCACATTGACATATAAATCTAGGATTTAATACAAGAAACTTCTATTTAATTAGAAATTATAGAGAGGAATTAAGAGTAAACAGGGAGGTTATTTTATTACATGAAATCTCTGAAAACTGTCTTAACAGATTTTTCTTTCTGGACTTCTTCAGCTAAAATTGATAGACTCAGTGAAGAAAGGACAGTAAAGTAGGGGAAAGCATGCGGCAAGGGGCTGCGGGTCAGACTCAAACCCGGGCGGGCTGCTCTCAGCTGTATGGCATGTGGTCACCCGCTCAACGCACTGATCTAAATTTGGCTTCTTATGAAGTTACTTTTCACCCTAACCCCCTAACACAATCTTTTGATAGATTCTGCACAGGTGGGATTACTGCAGTAAACTCAAACACTGTCACAATATTGATCCAACTAGAATATTTTCCAATAAAATGTTTAATAGAAGAAAAAACCATTGTGCACACAGGGTAAAATAATGAAGTGGAAAAATAACAACTTTAATCCAAATTTCAACAACAAACCAACAAGACATTACACATTAAACAAAAGTCAAGACAATCCAAGCAGGACGACATTCACAATGACTAACCCCGAAGAGTTTTAAAATGACTGTGTGCTGATAAAAGTCCCACAGATTGCGGGAGCGGTGCAAGGGTGTTCACAGACTCTGGAAACAATTTGACGTTCCCTGTAGAATATCTGTAGCGAGTATGTCAAATGCACCGCCTGTGGACCAGAACCGGCCTTCTGAAGTGTCCGATCCGGCCCACCGGATGGCTTTGCAGTTAGTAAAAATGTCAAACAACTTTTCACGGCATGTTGCAGCAGCAAGCAGCTTTTGAGTTCTTAAGTGTGAATCACACCATGAGAGTCTGAACTGTCAATCTAATGTGGAGTCAGAGGAATCATCAGTTATATGCCTCCTTACTGTCAAATAATCTGCCATACTTACAAAGTAGTGTTCTCGACCCCCACCTATTCACAGTTCAGTATTATCAGGTTATCTTCATTAGGATGACAGTTTAAGTTATATTTGGTGTTTGAACTATTAAAACAGGCAGTTATAGGTGTTTTTAGAGGGATCTCAGGTATTTGTGGATTTAAACTATTCACATGTGGTTATTGGGGGGTCAACTGCAGTTGATGAACCTTTAAATAACACAAATGAAACAATGTTGTCTTTTCATTATTGAATTTTTTTTCACTTCTTTCTTTGCATTTGGGCACTTTGTTCTTGTTCATTGTTAGTACAGCGAACTTTGTGATACAGGCCTCTGAATTAATTCAAAACAACTATAACTAAGACCTCAGTCACACAGGCATACAGACTGGTTGCCAACCAACATATGTAATCCCAAGTCAATTGTTGAGTGGTTCGTGGAGGACGCTGGGAGTTGTCTGCCTAAAACTCATTGGAAAGACTGCACAGTGATGCACCAAAAACCTGCTCGGGATTGCTTTGGTCACTAGCAGATTTCTGCTGTTTCCCTCAGGTTGCATGGAAGATACAGACGGGTCTGCAAACACTTGCTAACTAAGTCCCAAGCTGTACTGAGACAGAGACCATTCATCTTCAAAATAAAAGTTGCACCTTACAAGAGCAGTTAGCTTTTTCTTTAGAGGCAAACTTTTCAGTTTTAAAACAACTCTGCAAGTAGTTTACAACCGTTGTCTCCCATATTAATTGTTGAGACTGTGGCAACCTGAGCGTCACCAAAAGAAATCTCACAAGGAGGTTTTCGGTGCGGCGCTCTCTTTACAAACAATTTCACCCATCAACAGCCAGAAACCTCCAGCAAACAGTCGGGTTGCACTACTTACTGCTGATTGCCAAAGAGGTGCAGGCCGATCTGTAGGCCTGCTTTACCGAGGTCCAACATAGGAAACAACTCACCAAAACAACATTTACTGTAAAATGATCAAATATAAAACTAACCTTCATACAACCGGTGTCAATTAGAGCTGGTCAAAACTTATCAAACATCTCCTGTAAACATAAAAATAGTTTTTGTTCTTGAGACTAGTACGTAAACAGCAAAGAACTCATCCAGCAAAATTACTTTTGCCCCCATAAACAAATTACTCTGAAATACTAAAGATAAATAAAGGTTCAGATCTGAAACGGGTAACAACAAACTCACATTTTCTTATAAAAATAAGATGAAATAACATAAACAGGACTTTTAACTTTAAGGGACCTCTAATGAACGGAATCACATTTAGTTTGTTAAACTTCCCATAGAAAAGTCTTCTGATGGCATCTGGTGATCATCTGTATTTCTCTTATTGTCAACAACTCTCCCAAATATGAACTAAATGTTTATTTTCAATGAAAACTATGGGCTCAAATTGTGCTCATACATATTTTGCATAGTTGTGAACTGAGTTTTGTAACCTTGTAAACCAAAATATCTGAACATTTTAGGTTGGTGCATCTATAAAATTTCACCGAACTCTGACACGCACAGAATGTTTTCCTTCGTGGTGATGAAGGACAACGCTGGGCTGGCACGTGAAAGGACCATCACCCTTCCAGGACCTGAGGCTCAGTAAGGTACCCCTCAGACAACCACATCCATCTGTTCTCTGATTGGATTGTTAAATTTGTGATTGACATGGCATTGACCAATTAGCTGAAAGGAAGAACAATTGGGTGAAAATTCATATTTGTAAGTTGAAACTTACACACAGCAAGGCAACTTGAGCACAAGGTTTTACACTTTGTTTGTTGCTGTGTATCTGTAACTAGACCTTAATAACAAGTGTAACTTGTGTAATTTTTTTTATATACAAACACACATTCTAATCTACAGGGTGGGCCATTTATATGGATACACCGTAATAACATGGGAATGGTTGGTGATATTAAAGTCCTGTTTGTGGCACATTAGTATATGTGAGGGGGCAAACTCCTCAAGATGGGTGGTGACCATGGTGGCCATTTAGAAGTCGGCCATCTTGGATACAACTTTTGTTTTTTCAATAGGAAGAGGGCCATGTGACACATCAAACTTATTGGTAATGTCACAAGAAAAACAATGGTGTGCTTGGTTTCAACGTAACTTTATTCTTTCATGAGTTATTTACAAGTTTCTCTTTGTTCACAGCCATTGACATGTCGAAGAGGTTAACACGTGAGGAGCGGATCGAAATTGTGTTGATATCTGGTGAACGCAGTAACCGGGTCATTGCAGCAGATTTCAATGCAAGACACCCTACGAGACCACCCATCTCCCATGCTACAGTTAGCAAACTGCTTGCTAAGTTTCGTGAAACTGGTTCAGTGTTGGATTTGCCAAAATGTGGACGCAAGAAAACTGTCACTAATGAAGAAACATCAGTGGCTGTCCTAGCTTCATTCAGCAAGAGCCCACATGTCACTGGAGAGTGGCATTAGTCGAACATCCCTTCAGCGGATATTAGCTACTCACAAATGGCACCCTTACAAACTCCAGCTACTGCAGCACAGAATTTGCAGAATGGGCAAAACAAAAATTGGAACAGGACCCTCAGTTCACGCAGAAGATTTTGTTCAGTGATGAGGCAAACTTTTATGTGAATGGTGAAGTTAACAAACAAAACCACCGCTATTGGTCTGACACTAACCCACATTGGATGGATCCCTCCAAGACTGTTGGAACAACAAAAGTGATGGTTTGGTGTGGTATATGGGGTACAACGATAGTGGGTCCATTCTTCATCAATGGAAACCTCAAGGCCACTGGATATTTGAAATTGCTACATGATGATGTGTTTCCCTCTTTATGCACTGAAGCTGGCACGTTCCCTGAGTTTTTCCAGCAAGATGGTGCACCACCACATTATGGGTGCCAGGTCCGAGCATTCCTAGATGAACAGTTTCCTGGAAAGTGGATTGGTCGTCGTGGGCCAGTTGAATGGCCCCCAAGGTCTCCCGATCTGACCCCCTTAGACTTTTATCTTTGGGGTCATCTGAAGGCAATTGTCTATGGTGTGAAGATACGAGATGTGCAGCACCTGAAACTACGGATACTGGATGCCTGTGCTGGCATTTCTCCTGCGGTGTTGCTATCAGTGTGTGAAGAGTGGGAGAAGAGGGTTGCATTGACAATCCAACACAATGGGCAGCACATTGAACACATTTTATAAGTGGTCAGAAACTTGTAAATAACTCATGAAAGAATAAAGTTACGTTGAAACCAAGCACACCATTGTTTTTCTTGTGACATTACCAATAAGTTTGATGTGTCACATGGCCCTCTTCCTATTGAAAAAACAAAAGTTGTATCCAAGATGGCCGACTTCTAAATGGCCACCATGGTCACCACCCATCTTGAGGAGTTTGCCCCCTCACATATACTAATGTGCCACAAACAGGACTTTAATATCACCAACCATTCCCATGTTATTACGGTGTATCCATATAAATGTCCCACCCTGTATAGACGCACAACCATAACACTTTCAGAAATTTTGGTTTACAAGGTTACAAAACTCAGTTCACAACTACGCATTTGATTTACAAGCACAAAATATTTTTGAAAACAACTTGAGCCCATAGAAAATGAGCAGTGGTATAAGGAAATTAAACTTTTGGATTTGGAAAGTATTCAATGCAGCAATGTTTTCTTTACTGGTATCAACAACATGTGACATTTAAAAAAAATGTAATTTTTAATTTTTTTTAACAAAGCACTCAGAGAGCGCAACTCCTCCCAAAAAGTGAGGACTATATACTACAATGTTTATGTTTGATGTTTTTATTAAAACACGCTGGTGTCAGTCTGCTATGGCGTCATAATGGAAAAAACAAAACAACACAAATCATACAATCATATTTGGTATGGTTTCTTGAAGAAATTTTTTAAGAAGACTTTGACCTTGAGCACTAACCATGAAGGTCAAGGTAAAAGGGTTTGCTAACCTTCAAGACCTAGTATATTGTTGCAAGGCTTGAAGACTATCTTAAAAAAACAAAACAAAACAAAAAACGTGGGTAACAAAGCGCTTCATTACTTTTTTTATTAACTGATTTTTTTAGGTTTGGTGTGACCTTGATCTGATGTTGAGCTGTTATTGGTATCTACCATCACAATATTTGAAAACTGTAGACACTAGACTGGCTGAGATGGCTGTAGCTCAAATGGTGCAGGTGACCACAAACCATTACCTGGAAGGTTAATGGTTTGATCCCAGTCTTCTCCCATCTGCATGCCAAATATCCTTGGAAATATACTAACCCCACGTTCATATTCCGATGCATCCATCAGAGTATGAATGTTAGATAGAAAGCACTTCGCATACAGCGTTTGAAAGAAAAAAAAAAGTGCTTGGGTGAATGTACAAGTTGCGTAAAGCGCTTTGAGTGCTCAGAATAGAAAAGCACTACATAAGAACCAGTCCATTTACCAATTAGACTGCTAAGGAACACTATATGGATAGTGCTTTTTGTAAAGTATCATTCCCTAAACTTGTAATCTATTGCGATACTATAGTTATCATTAATCCTGGGGTCTACATGTAGTAAAAAGAGGACAGCTAGAGTTACAACTATGATTTTTTTTCAGGGGGGTTGTTGACAATGAGATAATGTAATCTTTAGGGCACAGAGGTACTTTTTTTAAAAGATGTAAATCTAAAAAAAAGTGCAAACAGAGAACAAGATCATCTGAATGTGTATGAAAAATATTTAACATTTCCTGCAGATTAGCATCAATCCATTACTTCCGTCCAAAAGTCACAGAAACACTAATTTCCCTGTATCATTACGCTTTGTTTGTAGTACTGAGTTAAATCTGCACCATGTTCATTCTCAAGAAATGTAACTAATAACATTTGGTGGACTACTGATTAGCATGACTTCCGTAAACGCTAGTTATGCTGACACAATAGGTGGAAATGTACCTTTTTTTCTCCCATTTTCACAGCTCTGGCAGTTCATGTGTAGACTCAGTCAGTTTTGAAGTCTTTTTGTCCTTCCCCAGTTTCAAAGTAACTGCTGGTCAAGATTTAACAGCTCCAGGTTTATCACAATCAACTCAGTTTCACAAGTGCAAGTAAACGCCAGCGCAGGTTCAGCGCAGTACTGCTAATTAAGCTTCAATGTCCAGGATCTTTCCAAGGACTAAAGGTTCCTCCAGCTCAAATTATATCCCAAAAAAAGGAAGCTAGGCTTTGTTTACCATAGTAATCTTACATTTTAGTTCTTCTAACCTTTGAGTCGCTAACCATTATTTTGTTTTCTTTGATATTCCTTTGCCACATTGCTGCTAGCATATAGCAGCATAAACACGCCTTAATATGCTGAATCTTTGTCGAAAACAAAAAACCATAGTGAAGGAACTTGGAAAATTCGTGGACACTACATGCAAAAAGTTACTTTTAGAACCTGACCAATACTGGAGTTTTAAGAATGATACCGGTAACTGATATTCTAATATCTCAGGTGATATTTTTTACTTTTCCACTTGAAACACGAAACATAACATTTGTTATGTGTACTTACTAATGTACTTATTTCTTTATTTTAAATTTTCATTTACTGGCAAATATCTAATACTGGCCAAAAAAGATAATGTCCTACCTGCTTTAAGAGCACTAGTTTTATTGGTAAACACAAAAAATACTCAATATTTACTTTGTTTGTAAACTGAATAACCTTTGGGTCTCAGAGTTTTGGTCTGAACAAATCAAGGCATTCGAAGGCCTCAGCTGATCCTGAGAAGTTGCCTTTCTGACATTGTGAAGAACACTGAATGTAACCATTAGTTTAAGTAAGAATAAAAAAAGCAGCCCACTGTTAAAAAGTGAAAGAAAGCATGAAATAAATGGATGGTACCCTCTTACATTGGTGACGTTATCAGGAACCACTGTCATCCCTTGAACTTCAGCCGCTACCGTCTGGGCCGTCTTGAACACTCACCTTCTAACTATCTAGAAACCTATAAGCTAACTTTCCCCAGAGATCGGTTGGTATTGAGGGTGAGGCACATCTTTCCCCCTCTGGGTCACTACTGTACACACCCACCACATTTTAGTTTCATTTTTGGGGAGAGGGCATGCCGTCCGCCTTAGCATAACTGTCTTCAGTTTCAACCCTACTAAGCTGCTCTGTTTGTTGGTGGTACTTCTTCTGGTGGATCAGGAGGTGTCTTCTCACACAGTGGCCCTGGCTGAAACCTTTCCCACAGTGTGTGCACTTGTAAGGCTTCTCTCCAGTATGGACTCTCATGTGAGTCACCACGTTTGACTTGTGAAAGAACTTCTTGTTGCATTTATCGCAAGCGAACAACCTCTCCCTGCTGTGGTTCTTTGTATGGATCCGTCTGTCTGTGGCTGCCGTGCTACCCGAGTGAAGTGCCACATGTTGAGACAAAGTATCCAGGTGGCGGAAGCGCTTCCCACACACATTGCAGCTGTGTGGCTTCCCCCCCGCATGATTGGTCGGCCGGTGAAGTTTGAGCTTCAACTTGGAAAAGTTTTTTCTGTGTGGCTTATCCACTGCATGGACCCGGGACTCATGGTTCTTCAGCACCCACTTCTCAGGGAACGCTTTGTGGCAGGTTCTACATTTGTACGGCGTGTTTCCCTTGTGTCGAGCGAGGTGACCCCTGTAGCCGACGACGGTGAGGAAGGACTTCCCGCAGATGTTGCAGGTGTGCGTTTTCTGGTGAGTCTGAAGATGACTCCTGAGCTGCTCTGCAGACACTGACTGCTCTCCACACACTCCACAGAGCCTTTCTCGCTCGTCCACATGACTCCAGGCGTGTTTGATCAGCATGTTTGTCGACCCACGTAAAATCTGGCAGACTTTACAGGACAGCAGAGCCTCGCTGTTGTGAATCAACATTTTCTGCTTTGCCTTCTTTATTCGGATGACTGAATGTTTGACTCGTCGATTCCCTTTCGTCTTCTCGGGTTCACCGTTCACCAGATGATCATTGGTTATGTTTGGTTTCTCATTGGGAAGCCCATCACTCAACTCGTTGTGTTCATAAAGTATTAAAGATTGCAAGGTCGAGAGACCAGTGTACTCCAAACCACCCTCAGATTCCTTCAGCTCCACATCTTTGTGACGTGATGTTGAGCTGTTGGAGAAAATGTTCACTGGATTGTCTTCCGGTTGATGAGGGCTTCTGTGGGAACAGAAATTTAAAGTTTAGGGCTTATTGTTGTTATTAATGACAAACAGTTTACTGGTGAGTTGAGATATTCAAAGTGGTGTCTGTGTAGCATCTTCTAACACCACAGAGCATGAATTGATTGGGAGTGAATGTTTCATAAAAAGCAATCTGTCCAGTTAGACTCTTTCAGCAAACCTCAGACTTTTTAACAATTGGATCTAACAGGTGGTGCTTACCCCATGTGCAGCCCAGTTTGCTCGGTAAAGGACGGAGACTCTTCAGTGCCGTCAACTTTTCTCTGTAGGTCAAGCTTTTTCGCACTAGTCTGGACTCCCTCAGGTGCCTGCGTGAATATCCAAAACATAAAGTCGAATTAGAAATCATTAACCTCTGGTACGTGAGCATACATCAAAATAACTTTTAACCCTCTGGGGTTGCCGGACGCGCCGGCGCGTCAAAATCACATGACCAATTTAAGACGACACAGCTACAAGATGCAGCACATCGGAGTCTCCATTTCAACTTGGCTCAAAAGTGCGGACTTCAAACTATATACCAGTTTTTGAATTGTGTCGATGGGCCACGTAAAACCAGAGTTATGATAAAAAATACACCCGATGTTTTTTTCTGAACAAAACAGTGGCGTTTACAGCGGGAAGAACGGTAAAAACTGCGTTTTCTACAGATATCGCTAGTATATCTCCCTTTGCGAGTGAAAAAAGAAAAAGAAATAACACCCCTTCCCTATTGGTGTTAGAGTTTACCATGTCAGCCAATCAAAAAAATGATAAGGCATCATGTGACATTTGGTTGTTTAGGGAGAAGGGGAAGTTTTTAGGAGTGACACCCGCGACGGAAAGCGGGCGAGCGAAAGACAGAGTGAGAAAGTTTTCCTATGTGAGACATTAGTGACGTATAGCGTGTTTGGAGGCTGTAGTTAGTTTGTTGTGTAGTTATTGTCTCGTATTGTGTGTCAGTTAGACTGCTGAATTTCATATTTGCTCTAAAAAAGCCGTCAAAGGCAGATTCCAGTGTAAACGCTGTTCCCACATGGAAAACTGGACTGATGCACCTCCTGCTGTCAGACCTGCAGGGTTTAGGCCTGTGGTGTTCTCCTCTGTCTTATACTGAACACAAACTACATTTTTTGGACTGGCACAAATCATTTGTGTGCCTTCTTATTTGATGCAGAACACCTGATTGTTCTGTAAATAGATTTAAATGGTTATATAAAAAACCCCTGAGGCCTTGGCTGCATTTTTGGTAAATAGTACCTGATAACTTTGTTGTTTGCAAAACTTGTGCATAATTTTTAGAAATGTACAATTTCTATTTGCATTTCAAGTTATGAAAATGATTCGTTAAACATGTTTGTGGGTTTTACATTAAAAAATATAACTTTTTTCTACTCAGATTTAGAATTTTTTTGTCTGAATTTAGATCAACTGTGCTAATATAGTATACCAAAATGAAAGAATAACTCAAATTTCAGATATTTGAGGTTGTGCTGAAAATAATGATACCAAACAAGGTAAGAAAAACATATTTTAAAGGTGAAATATAGAGGTAAAATCAAAAGTAGTCAAAAACGGCCAATTATACCCTGGACGCCAGAGGGTTAAGGCCCCGTGATTATTTCCATTTGAACCCAGAAATAAGAATTTTAGAGCTCCCAGTCGGAATTTTCAACTGGAATGTACATCTCAAGTTGAACTAGCCCTGACTTCACAGTCCAAGACGTCCGACTTCTGAGGCAAATATAAAACGCATCAGTCACAGAGGCGTAGAGACTAGTAATCACTGGTTGCTAGGGAAAAGTGTACTTTACCTCAGTTGGTTGGTTAGTGGTTGCTAGAGGGTACTTGCTGTTGAGCGGGCGACATTTGCGAAATGAATACTGGAACAAAAATGTCCTACGATTGATTTGGTTGCCAGTAGACTTCACAGAAGGAGCCAACTTGTCTGCAAACACTTGCCAAATATTTGCTAAGTGGTAGTAAAATTGTGAAAGATGTGATGCAAAGAACTGGAGAACATGTGCCTTCAAATTTGCACCTTGTGAAATTTTTTGCCGACTGCAGCATTAAGATGGAAACTTTCCTTTGGAGGTGAATGTTATTAATTTACAGTTTGCATCTTGATTTGCACTACCTTTGTAGAATGAAGGACACACATTTAAAGCAGAGAGCAGTGTTACTTCAGTTTTTGTTGGACTTATTAGACTTTTGGTCAATTAATCTATCTAGATCTTTCACAGACATTCTGAAGGACAACACAAATATCTACCCAGTCAGATGCAGTACCTTGAGTCGAACGAAGAGGACAATGCTCCCACTGGCCTTGATGGCTCTGTACAGCTCCTCTGGAGTCAATAGCTCTACTTTTAGAGGCTGCAGTCTTCTGTTCCTGTCAGCTGTGAGGACGTCAAAAGGTTTATCAGCAGCCAGCTGAGGGAAAGTGGACTTCAGCAGTTCCACAAAGTCGGCCTCCTGCAGGCCTCGAGGACACTTCAGGTGATGAAGCGGGTACTTATTATACACTGAGAAAAAACAGAGAAGCTCCAATAGTCAGGCAGGTAGTTATCCATGAGACAGACACAACAAACAGTATGCTGACTGTACTAACATTAACAAGAAAAAAAGAGACAGCTCACCTTACAAGCTACTGCTGCATTAGGCCTACAGATTTTTTTTTTAAATAAATTTGATATAAAACCCTAGTGACAGCAATCCTAAAGGCAACTTTGTCCAACTTTGCCTAATTTTCCAAATCCTGACACTGAAAGTTGAAAACCTAAACAAACACATATCTAAATAATCTAATTTTTAGGTATGGCCCTAAAAATACATACCAGTGCACATTTGTTACCAATCTGAACACAGAATGAGCAGTTTTAAATTTACCTTTAGGTGAAATCACATTGACATCCCAGTCCTGCACAAAGCGGATCCTGAGATCTACATGGGAGCTTGATTGGCTAATCCGAGGCCTACCAGGCTTCCTCCTGTCGGACTGATCCCTGGGAAACAATAACATTAGAGACAGACACCACAGCGTTACACTGGCCCCTTTACAGTTATTACCTTTATCTATTTTAATAAGTTGAACAAATGTGAGAAATATTTCCGGAAGCAGTAAAGATTAGCTTCAAATTTAAGTCCTGTCACTGCAGCAGAGTAAGACAATGTTCAGTACGTTTTTTTTAATCTGCAAAAAATACTTTTTTCTTAGACCGGAAAAGTTGGAAGAGCGAGTGTCTCTGAAGGTTCTCAGTCATCCAGGTCATCGTAGTCTCTTTCCAAGCTCCTTAGATTAAGCGAGGTTTCCTCCATCTATCATACATCTTCTACCACTGAACTGAGTTCGAGAAGCTGGAATAGCTGTCTAAGCAGAGCTCCCTGGCTACCTTCTCAACGTCTTCTGGGGGATGCCAGGGTGTTCCCAAACCAGCAGATGGTCATGTGACAAAGGCAGAGATTGCCTTTACAACCATCAAGATCCCAAGACTTCAGCAGCAGGTCCTTGAGCTCCTGAACTGGGCCCATTGTTGAACCACCTTGGAACAGTCTTCGTATCTACCAAGCACTCCACACCAAGAACAACCCACAAAAAAGCTGGATAGAGCACGTTTTAATTTTCATCCATACCACCTTCAGCAACTGACTGGCTCAATGAACCCCCCACATTATTTAGTCCATTTTGGCCGGTGTGGTGGAGGACACCAAGGAACAAGGTCGTGTTGACTGGAGCATTAAAGTACCCCAACAAAGTTGATGCACAGGAATACTGACAATATTTTTCCAACTCACTGTCAGTGATTGTACATCAGTGAACACCACAACTTTTCTAAACTTGACAGAACTGGAGACTATAAAGTGCACCCTTCCACAGGTATGTTTTCTATGGCCTACTGGGTAACACCAAGGTCCAGGAAACCTCCATGTGAAGACACCACCTCAACTTTGAAATCTAGGGGCCTTTTTATACCTGCTGTGTGGTAGACCGGAATCAGGATATGTTATTAATCCCCAAGGAATTCATGTAAAATTATGACAAAGCTGACATCAAATTGATATACCAGCTGCTGTCACTAGGTCTAGCTGTACTGCTGCCGCTCCAGGGTTGAAATGTTGGTTTTTACTTTTGTTTTAATGATAAATCAATAGTGAAGCTCAAAGTCACAGATTATACAGAGCGAGATCCTGCAACACAGTGCTGACATTATCTGAGTGAGGACACCAAAACAAAACAGCCGCCTCCTGTGCCGTAACAGTGAGCATAAATGGATTGGGCTGGGTGACGACATCACTGGCGGCACTTGCAGCGACCAACCTGGCAGTATGCTGGTGCCGTGAAGTGCAGCAGCTTTCAGTGACAGTCTTGTTTCTTCAGTTACTACCTAACACTCACGACCACATGCGAGTTTGAAGGTTCAAGCATCATCACACGTATGTTCCTGTCTCTTTATAGATTTCTATTGAACGGCTAAGACGGATAGTTTGACCGACTCACCTCCCATGCATCACAGTTTGTTCAGGTAAAAATGACGACTCTGTAGCTGTGTCCACTTTTTTCTGCAGGTGTTCAAGCTTCCTCGCACCAACCTGGACTTTCTCTGGTGCCTGAAAGAGTTTCGTATTAAAAAAATAAAAAGAAAAGAAATTTTTAAAAAAAGAGGAGAAAAAAAAATAAATCACAAAATGTCTTTGCTTCAGCAGAAAACAGTCTTCGATGCATGATAAGGGCATCCACATTTAGTTTCAAGTTTGTACCAGAGAGCAATGTCGTACTTGCTGTACATGTTGTTTGTGTAGTTTCTTTAAAGGTTTCCGGATAATGTCGAGTAGGAGTATTTTAAAATGTAGTGAGTCACGGTACCTTCAGTCGAATGAAGAGGGTATTGATCCTTGATGAATCAATGGCCTTGTAGACCTGCTCTGGAGTCAGTGACTCCACATTCAGAGGTTGCAGTTTCCTGTTTTTGTCAACTGTGAGGATGTCAAAAGGTACGTTAGCAGCCAGCTGAGGGAAGGTGGACCTCAGCAGTTCCAGAAAGTCGTCCTCCTGCAGGCTGCGGTGACACCGCAGTTTGTGAAGTGGGTAGTTCTGAAATACTAAGAGGAAAGAGAAAAATGAATCCCCTCAGTCACAGCTTGTTCAGTTATCCATGACGTGTACAACACATAACTAAAAACAGTAAAGATGCTGGGAAGCTTTTTGGCTGATTTATTGTTATTGAACTGAAGCAAACAACCACAGTCAGGGCTCTTATGAAAATGTAAAATCAGACTTTTTTATTTCTCATTCATGTTTTACAGCTTCAACCCACTCTGCTGGTCTCTAAAGACTGTTTCATTTCCAAAGACTAGACAAGTCAAGACCACGGTAATTCCTGCCCCGCAGGGAAGGAGTATGTAATCGGCTCAGTTCGTCTGCCTGTCTGTTAGCAGTCTAGCATCCACAGTAGACCCATGAGTACCTAGGGTGGCTAACCATTAGACCTTCATGGTTACTGCCCAAAGTCAGAGTTGACATTGAAAGAAAATTTCACAAAACCATTTCGAATAATATACAATATGCAGTACTTGTCATAGACCACACCATGCCGTGTCACCACAGCACAAGGAATAAAGTTAATTATTTACATTTTTAAGGACGGGCAGAGGACAATAGCTCTGCTGTCTGCTAGCATCCACAAGCTTGCTGTGTATGGATGGCAGCTGAAGCCGTTTCTGGACACACAAGTAGCAGCTGTGCATTTACCTTGGGGTGCGACCACCTCCATCTGAGAGTCCTCCAGGATGCGGATCTTCAGATCTACGTGGGAGTCTGATCGACTGAGCTGAGGCTTGCCCAGGCTCTTCTTGTCAGACTGAACTCTGGGACACAATAACATTAGTGATGGAGATCAGGCGATAAAACGAGAGATTAAATTGCTTAATGAGCAGCTGAGGCTTGTTAACATTAACTCACCTGGTGTCCAGTCTGGTTGGATTTGGGGTGGACGGACCGGCTCCCTGTTCCCCCAGAAGGTAAAAACAAAAGAGGTTTGTATCTTAAGTGTTTCCACCAAAAACAGCAACACTGTCCTTATTTTTATGAGCGACAGATCACATACTTGGTCTCAAGTTTACACGGTACCTTCAGTCGGACGAAGAGAGTAGTGTTTCTCCTTAAGGTGATGGCTCTGTGGATCTCCGCCGGTGTCAGCGTGTCCACACTCAGCGGCTGCAGTACCCGGCTTTTGTCAGCAGTGAGGATGTCAAAAGGTTTACCTGCAGCCAGCTGAGGGATGGAAGACCTCAGCTGGTCCAGGAAATCAGCCTCCTGTAGATCATAAGGACACCGCAGCTCCTGAATGCGGCTTTTCAGAAACACTGGGAACACAAAAGCCAAGTAGGTAAGAGTCTGAACTAATAACACGAGTTACAGAGGATATACTGCTGCTGTAGCTTGTGCTGGTCACAGTCACAGCCGGCGATTACCGAGAACAATCGAAAAGGTTCACAGTTATATATCAGTTACAGTCATTTGGTTTAAAACGACCCAATGTTATTTGAGGCGAAATTTCTTTAAATATGATTAATACGTTAACATGACTCAGACCCGTGTGTTGATTTTGTACAAGCCTGCAGGCACTCACAGAGCCTCTTTATAGACAGACTGTTAACATTTCAGAGTCTCAGCAGAAAAGCTTCCA